GTGGATCTTTTTGATCAAAAATGTACCTCGTGTGATTTTGAAGGATAGTTGATCCGTATCTACATGTTTGCCTGGAGGTTGAAGAGGAGTTTGTTTGTTTGTGTGCGTGTGTGAAGACAGCTGCTCTGTGTCCAAAAGCAGCACCACATTCCCTACGGCGGTCTTTGAAGTCAGGCACTCTATTATGCACTTATGTACACACATATGCACAGCTTTTTCTGCTTCATTGGTTACCTCTTTCTAACTTTTAGTCTGCGTGTCACAGTAGAACAGGCGTTGAGGATAATACATACTTTTCAAATGTTTTCATGTCAAGAAACTGACTTTAACTCAGTAAATTAAGTAAAGTGTTGGGATAAACATAAAACAAAACTTGAGCAATCATGGATTTGTAAATAGGTAATCTGTTTGTAAATTCGCTAACAGGACCCAGAGGTTTCCATCAAATATACTAAGTGGGTTGTGTGTTTCTGCCTGAAAGGGCTACTAATCCTAGATACTTACTGATTCTGTGATTACTTGTTTTGTTGTTTCTTAATGGCCTAGACAACAGTTATAAAAATCAACATTTTGTACATGATGAATCATATTTAAAAACACTTTAGTTAACTGCCAAAAATGTAAGTTTAACAGGATATTAGAAAAGGAACCATACAAGGCAAAATCAGATCAAAGGACAAATTATGGCACTGAGGGCAGGAATAACCTAATGGTGTAGAGACAAATAAATATAAAGTCCATATGAGCTGTAGTTTACAGCTGTTTGTGTGTGTGTATGTATATATATATGTGTTTGTATTTCTGTTGCTTTTATACCCTGTACTGAAATATTCAAGCAATGGAAAATAGCATAGAAACCTCTGTTCTCTCCATTAATTAACTGAAAACATGCCCATCTAAATATGGAGTAAATAATAGAGGTATGAGCGCTATGTACAACCCAGGCCAAGACCAGATTTTGCTTTTATCTCCACATTAACTGTGGAAAAACTAACTGTTAGTGAAGTTGACTTTATGTCTGTTCAGTGGACATGTGCAGTCTCTAGATGCTGATAAAAAAAAAATAGAGTTACCAGAAATGTTCTGGATAAGGAAAGGAAAAAACACAGATAAACTAATAGTCTTAAAGTGTTTAATCACTTTGAAAATTTATTTGATAATTCACGTAATTGTCTCGTTACTGAGTGAGTGTGTGTGTCCCTTCCCGTCCCTGTCCCTTACTCTGTCTCTCTCACCCTCTAAACTTGCAGGCTGGTATGTCTCTTTCCCCTCGGGATGGCCCAGATCTGACAACAGCTAGGCCTACACCCCATGCAGGAAACCCATCCCACTGAGACAACTAGCTGGCCATGTACTATGTGTGTGTTTGTGAATGTGTGTGTGTGCATGTGTGTGTGCATGTTATGCCATGCCACTGGCAGCAAGCACGGTTTGGCCACAATGTAAAGTTGGCTTCGAAGCCTGGAGCACTTCTTGGGGGGCCTGGCCCATCCAGCGGACCACTACAGCTCTCCGCAAGCTAGCTGCTGGGAGCTAATCATAGTTATACAATGTTGCCAAGCAAATGAATTCCTACATTTCACCATTTCTCTTTTGCTTGTAGGTATATTGTTACAGTCAGGGCATGCCTATCAAGTAAACTTGCATACAGCAGCAACACACACACACACACACACACACACACACACACACACACACACACACACACACACACTTTCCAGCATAATGGGCTTCCGTATTCTGTATTGTACATATTATTTATTAGGGTTCATAACGCGTAGCCCTATTATTATTTGTTGTCTGCCGCGCTGGCTCAAATTCCCGTGAGCTGGAATGAGCTAGAAACATGAAACTTGGGGGAATAACTGGAAATGGTGTGCATCAGCTTCCATAGAAATATGAACCCAATTGGCCACATGGTGGCGCTATAATTAAGGCATAAAAATGCAAACTTTGAAAGGCCCCGCCCCTTACACCACTTAAAATTTTTCACACAGGTGCAGCTCAATGTGCTCTACATAAAAGCCTCAAGGGCTATTAAGGTCTGCCTAGAGTTTTTCCCCGCCATTTAGAATTTTTTGAAAATCACATTTTTGACATCTCCTCCTAGACCGTAACTCCGATTGCCACCAAATTTTCAGTGAATCATCATTGGATCAAGCCTATTAAAAGTTGTATAAAGCATGTCGATATCTCAATTACTTTTCAAGATATGGACCAATGAACTTTGAAAGGGGCGTGGCTCTGGACATGAATGACCGTAGGGTCAATTATCACAAAACTCACAGGATATGATCAGTTAGGTGCCTCGGATATACCTGGACAGTTTGATGTACATGCGTCACTAGGGGGCGCTACAAGCACAAGACGGGTGCTTAGCATTACACAAATGACACTATAAATCCCATATTCATTCTCCAATCATCACAAATCTCTCAGGACATGTCCACATAAGTACATGAAACATGCCCTGAAAGTTTCATTCAAACTGAACACCCGAGGGCGGTATAAATGCAAACAAACTGCAGGGGATAAAACACAAAACAGGCTACAAATTGTTTGTCCAATCAAAACAAAACTTGCAGGATATGTCTACATCAGCACCTCACACATACCCTGAAAGTCTCATTCAAATCCACCACTAGGGGACGCTATAAATGCATCGTAACTGGACGTGGAATGATACAAATCAAGCGATAGATCAGAAAATTGTTGTCCAGTTGTTACAAAACTTGCAGGATGTGTCTAATAACAATGTTGAACCTAATGTGTGAAATAATTTTGATGGTGATATTGGGGGAAAAAAGGTATGAACCCGCGAATCGGCGCTTGCAGCTATATTTATTATTTTGTATTTTCTATATATTATCAATTTAATCTTTTATATCTTGACCTGCCTTATTTGCTTCATCTTTCTAATATTTTCTACTGTGTACTATTTTTATGCACCAAAATGCCAAAGCAGATTCCTTGTATGTGGAAACCTGCTTGGCAAAAAACCTGATTCTGATAACAACAAAGCTAACTCTAGCTGAGCTAGCACTGCAGTATAACATTCCCCAAAAATCAACATGAAAAACAATCGCTGGCATCCAACCTATATCCCTGTATTTGGCTTCAAATGAGGCTTAACGTTCACATAGTTTCTCTTGACTGCGTGATTAGTCCAACATCTCCACAGCCTGTGGTAGCAAGTAACAAACAACAAAGCTAACACTAGCTGAGCTAGCGCTGCAGTCTAAAGTTCCACACAAAGCAACATGGAAAAAAACGATCACTGGCATCCAACCTACTACTGTTGTTATTTAGTTGGCTTCAAATGAGGCTTAATGTTCACACAGTTTCTCTTGACTGCCCCTCAGTATTCCAACATTGCTTCAGGCTGCTAGTCTACATTACTTTGGCCAAAACATTAGGTGTCAAAAATACTCACCCAGTGGTTATCATGGTAACACACACTTGGGATTTAGGTTTCTGGGTTTTTCTTGGACAGCATCCAACGAAAACTGCCAAAGCTGAAATTCATTTCAGTAGAATGATTCAGTTTCTGTTAAGCAAAGGCACCACCAGTTGGCGTTTGCTATTGGTGGCTCAGGTTGTGGATGGCCATTTCCCCTTGCAAGGCTACAATTGCCGCAGCAGCCTCAGCCTCTCTCTGCTGCATTTCTTCTCAGGCATAAATGTGGCTTAATATCCAAGCAGCCCAAAACAGTGTAAAATGTATCCTCGTCCAAAATATCCTTTGGACTTATATTTTGGAATGCCATTTTTGCTGTTGCAAATACAAAGAGAACGGCATCCTAAGCACAGTCCCTGACGGAAGCTAGCAATCCAAGCTGAAGTAGCTTGTTGTTCTGTATCACCAACTACGTCAAATGACAGTGCTGATGGAAGGAAGAACTACTTAGCAAAGTCAGTATAGCATGCACTGAGGAGTTTATTGCTTCAGTCAACTGCATTTACCAATACTTATTGGACATAAATAAATAATAATGAAATGAAAAAAAAAATGAATGAAAATAATAAATTGTGCCTTGTAATATGAAACATTACAAGCCTGGGGGATAAATGGCCTTTACCTAATTCTTTCCTGGCACTATTATGAAGCAGTGCAGATTGACACTGTTACTGACGACCGTATTTTCTCATTAAATTTGTATTGTGTTCACCCCCCTGTTCTGTCACTAGTATTGATTATGTCCAATTTTGTAATATCCTTCCCGGTTGAAGGCATTAGGGCCTACTTACAGTGCCACAAAATGTTGCCGTAATGGCTTTTCTCTGAAATTTGTGCCAGAGGAGCTCGTCTGCAGGTTTGCTTAGGGACAAAGAACAAGTAAATTGTTTTGGATAAGTGTTTCCTTTTATGTCAGATGGATTTTGTTCCGAGAAGTGTGAACTGAAAGAGGAAGAGGCTTTTCTTTAAGGTCAAAATGTTCACTCTGTTAAAACTCTTCAGTGACGTCTTCGTCTTTCTTTCTTGCCTCCCACCTTTTTCTCTATCTCCCCATTATTCTGTCTGTGTCTGTCAGTCTCGCTCTGATGCGTTCTGTCTGGATCCCTTCCCCACCTTTCTTCCTATCTGTTATGTGCCTCAGGGGTATTTCTCACTGTTAAGTCTTTCTTTTCACGCTTTGATTTCTGCTCTGTCAAGAGGAAATTGCTTCGAATAATGACCACAGCAGAGGAGCTGATGACGATGACCTCTGATTCAAATGTTATGTAACAGTCTGAGAGGTGAAGAAAAGCACCGGATGATGCGAATTAAGCCAGATGTCACTCTTTCATCTCAGTAATTCTGTTAATACATGAAGGGTAATAAAGCATGATTGGCTTTACCACTTTGTAATGTATTATAACTGTGTTTTACTGTTATTGTGGACACAGTATGAAAATGAACATAAATAGATTTACATAAATGTGAGTTGTATTTAAACCCCTTACAGTATGTTTACAACTCTGTAAGTAGGTGACCCATTTGTACATTACTTCCTCAACAGGTTACCAACTATGTGCTGGACGGAGAGGAACACAATCTGATACATCCTGCCAAAAAGATCCTTCTGTTTTTCCCTGGATGTTTGTGTCTCAGGGATTCTCGCTGGCTATCAGACACTGTCAGTGTCAGCGTCAGCCCAGCCAGACCGAATCTGAGGTGTTATCATTCTTCTCATCCACATAGGTTTGTAGCCATTTTCTTTGTTTGTTTTTTGTTAGAGTTTTTCAATAGTGTTAAATAACTTAACAAGGTTGCCTTTTGGTCCATCATGTGATGAAACGGTTGTCCTGTAGACTCTGTAAATGTATTTGTTATTAACATTTACTGTAACTTTAAAGTGGAAAAAACGATACTGCAACATCTATAATGTGTGTTGGTTATATGAAACAGGTAGTTGGTAAGAAACGGATTAACTCTTTAGTTAAAAGACACTAAATGCATCTATGCACCAAGGATGATAAACTGAACATCTTGGCATTTGGACTGACCAAATTATTAATTCATTAATTGAGAAAATAACCATCAGTTTAATTAACAATAAAAAGAATTGTTAGTTGTAGCCCTACTGAAGAGTTTGCAGCTATGTGATTAATAAATCCAGATGGCTAACATTTTTGTATTGCTAATTTGTGCTAGACTGCACTGCATCAGGAATTTGATGATTGGCCACATGACAAATACTATCAGTTACTAGAAAGTCTATCTACAGACTTGCAAGTCATCCAATGAAAATGCCATCTACAATTACTTAACTTACTGTATGTGTGATAAAGCATGCATACGTCACAACACTGTCTTATTTACCCGTCTTAACTAGGTTTTTTCGTGCATGTGGCCAGAGGACGTCTGTGTGTTCCCTGCTGACCGGAGCCCTACTAGAGGCCACAGCCGCTCTCGGTGCCCGCTTGGCTCTACCTTACCCTTTGCCCCAGGGCCCCAACAGCCACGTTGTGCTGAAAGGTTGGTCTTATCCTGTAGTTTTGGTGTGTATAGAAAAAGTGTTTTTATTTATATGCTTGAGTGAATGTGACAATATTACATTATAACTTCAATTTAACTATAAACTTCAGAAAAATGCATGCTCCAACAATAGTATATAGCACAAATCAGCAGTTACATATGTTAAGTTCATGTGCATATATGCATACATACCATAGACTCTATAAAAGAAGTGGTAGTAGTCATCATGACGTCACCCGTTGGTTTGTCGACTGCTATTTTGAAGCTTCAAGTTTGGCCGATAGGCCGCTGCCATGTTGATTTTTTATATTCCATATATATGGAATATATAGCCATATATTGGCTCCAATAGCCGTGTGTGGAGCTAGGTAGCTTGCTTAGCTATGTGCATCTGTAATTCACGTTAACTGTCATTTTAACAGGGCTGACAACAGTCTTAAAACTAAATGGACTCACCAGAAAAAATGAACAGCCAACTCCTAATACATTTTTTCAACGGCGCTAAAATTTACACACTGCCGTGGGTACGACTCACTCTCGCCTGATTGACAGGTCGCCATGGTAACGACTTGTCAATCACAGATAATCCCCGCCCTGAAGCATTCTCTGCTTTATGGCCTATTTTCCTCTAAATCGGACCATAATTTGCTGAATGAACGTCATTTTGTATTGAAGAAGACTTGAAACTAGTGATTGAGACCATAAACTCATTATTAAAGTGTTTACTGAGGTAATAAATCAGCTGAGAAGTAGGGTCACATACCATTATTTCTAATGGAGCCGGACTTCTTTTTGCAACCAGAAGAGTCGCCACCTGCTGGCCGTTTGATAGAACACAGATTTAAGGGACTTCGCGTCAGTTTGCTGACCAGAAGCTTCCCGCTTGATACATACCTTATGTTCAAACAGAGGAGCATTTAACTAGTTGACAAGTGAAGCAGGGACTTTGGGCATAGAGCATGTATCTATTTGGTTCTGAGAAGAAAAGGTTCTCACTATTCCCCTGTGGCCTATGGCTCCACTCTTCCTCTCTGCTCTTTTCCCACATGTTTCCCTTATCCACAGTGGGTTTCGGGTTGGTAAGAGCACGTCTGTGGTTGATCCGCGTTTGCCCTTTCCCTATTACGTTTTCTTTTTATTTCCTCTGCTGTCCTTGTCCCCCTCTTCATACCCTCTTCTCTCTCTCTCCACTCCAATTTCAACATACACACACACACACACACACACAGTGCTGAGGGAGGGAAAAAAAGCCTGCTGACATCACAGCGCCCACACATCACCAGTGCGCACACACACGCCCTGTTATGTCTTTACATCTGAAAAGAGGTTATATGCACTTCAAACATGCTTGCACAGCTCAGGAGTGATAGCTTGAGGGTTTTTTTCAAACAAACAAATTAGCATCACGCATATAGTACCACTGCGTCTCGCTCTCTCTCGCTCTCCACATGACTTCAACGTCTAACCAGTGGGGTTGTCGATCAGTTCCTCAGCTGGTAACTGCCTGTCCACCTTCTCTACAATGATGTTACGTATGACTTAAATGTAAGCCGATCCTGACATTAATTTCCACTGGCAGTGGGCCAGGGGACAGTCTGTCTCTGGCAAGATCACACACACACACACACACACACACACACACACACACACACACACACACACACACACAGCGCGCATATCTTCAACATGACAGCGTGTTCTGTTCTAATGGGTGTTGCAGGAAACAGAATAGAGCCAGACACGCGCACACATAGCAGCTTAGAAGTCTTGGCAGGACTAGGATTTCATAGGCACACACACACACACAGGCAGCATGAGAGCCTCCCTGGCTAACTTTCTATGTCTCTCTCTATCCTAGTACACTAAGCTATCGAGAGATTGCACATGAGTATTACCTTCTAGCCACATTGTTTTGTTTTTAGAAAAGATTTCGGATCTGCCATTTGGATGATTTGACATTCAGGGTACCAGGAAGCAGTATCTGTCTCCAGAGATGATAATGTCCCTGTAACAAATAGTGTAGTTTTGCTAAACGAGTGCAGTGTTGAGGAGTTGAGGAGAATCAAACAAAAGAGTGGTTTTCTAGTCCAACTGACTCCAAATGGTATTTTCAGTTGGCGGTAGGTTTTTTAAAAGACATTGTTTGTGATGTTAAAGTAATTAGCAGATGTCATAGAAGACATTTCATTATCCTGAAGCTTGGGGGAAGGTCTGACTTAAGTTTCAAATTTGGATGGTTAGTTTAGTTATTGCTTTCTTACCATTTTAGGTATTGTTCCTCTCTTTGGTGTTCCAACTTAACAACCTGCTCTTATTCTCTCATGCATTAGCAATAAAGCTTTTTTTCTCACTCTAACTTGTGTAATTCAGTTGAAAATGAATATGCTTTTTTAATATTGAGAACATAAAACCCCTAAAACGTGTAAATGAGTGTAAATGACAAATAGACAACACTTGTAAAGTGCTTTTCTATCTAAACAGACAAAGAATCTTGTTATTCAGGGTACAGCCTTGAATCCAGGATGTTTCTTGTGCCTGTTGAATAAAGAGAACATTATGTGTCTTGTATTTTTGGTCCAGTCTTTTCAAGGTTTTTCCTGCTTGTATGAAATTGTCACATGAAACTGACTGGGTTTGAAATAGACATGGAGCTTTAGAAACATAGTGTGCCACCAGTGCCTGCTGAAGTGGTCCACCTCCACAGGAAATCATCATCATGGTTTTGGCAAGGGTCATCCTTGTGTCGCCTTTTATGTTTTCTCTCTATACATTTCCTCTCCTGCTTTCTTTTTGCCTACATCCTCCTCCTGAAGTGAAAATGCGTCTTGAAAAGGAAAAAGAAGAAGAATTAAACCTACCCTTTCTTCATGGTCATATTACTTTATTGAAGTTTCTCTGTGTCTGTATTATTAATCTCAGAGCTTTAGATTCAGATTATTTTTTCTTCCCAATAATCTTACTGACATTCTTATACTACTCTTCTTGCTTGGTTCTACGTTTTTTTCTAAATGATTGTGTTGCTGCCTTAGTTGCTGCAGGTTCCATTGACTCAGCATCAGCCTTACATGATAGTAGATCCATTAATCAGGTAAAAGTTCAGATGGATTTTTATGTTAAGATGTATAAATTGTATAATAAATGTGCTAATGCCAGCAATCATTTGTAAAAGCAGTTGAAACGTTTGTATTATATTTTTTTTAGAATTCAATTTGTCGTTCACAGTGTCTGTGTACTCCATATTTTCAATGGAGTAGTTCAAAAATTTGCATTTATGAAGTAACTATCTCCTAGATACACAGAAAGGATTTACAAGATTCAGATCTCGTAATTCTGGGTTTGTTTTCCTGTATTATGACAAACTAAGTCACAGCTTTGAGATACGGAGGTCATGATTAGACGAGAGAACATCTCCATTTTTGTTTTACTTGGTGAATGCAGTGTGCATATTATTCCCATCCTATCCTAATAAGGTATTGATTTTAGATTCAGTATAGTGGAAGCAAGACTCTGGCTGGAAGTAGAACTCAACAAACTCGATCAGTGGCTCTGGCCCAAATGCTTTCAAGGATTACCAGGATAATCACTTGGCCAGCCTTGGTGTATTCTTAGAGTTTTAATGTGAGTGGTGAGAGGCTGAATGTTTTTACAGACCTTCTCTAGTGTGCCACATCCACTGTAATCATCAGAACACATTCTGCTGGTTCCTCTGGTGTACGTGAAGGACTCTTTTTGTAGCATAGCAATCATTTGGTTTTAGTAGCAGGTCAGGAGAGCACGGAGATGACAAATTATATTTTGCAGGTTGAGTTGGCATGACAATGGCAGGCTTTTGTTGTGAATGAAAACCCTCATCACCTTTAAAGACAAATACTGATTTAGGGAAAAATGTCAACTGTGTAAGACGTAGGTAAGCTCAAGGTGGTGTGTGTGCTGCTTGAACACATTGGTCGATATTCTGATTAATAGAAAGGACATAAATCATTGCTGAATATGTCCGTAATAAGAAACAGTTGTTTTGTTTCGTACAGCTTGTCTTTATGAAATGCTTGAAGGCTGATGCTCACCCAGTCCGTGTCAGCTCAAACACAGTTGATGTTTGAGGATTTGGCAGCAGTACTTTTAAGTACTTTAGGTTTTGCTTAAAGTACAATATGTGTGAAATATAACGTATGTTTTGTGAAGGCATTGGCGTGTCCATTTATGTTATTGTGTGTTTTGGTTTGCATCTGCTTATGTTTTTGCATCTGTTAATGTGTTTGTTCATACTGTATATGTGTACATACACTGTATGTATTGATAGGATCATTTAATGTCACTGCTGTGGCTTCCGTAGAGACACACAAAAAACAGCTATGGTAGCACAGCTGATGGCACAGCAAAAACATCAATAAAACAAAATAATTACAATAATACATGCATTTCACTAACTTTTTCAGGTACAGAATATAAATCCTCCACACCAGAATCTAAAACTTAGAACAAACCATACAACAACAGAAATTAAATTCACAATCATTTCACAAAAACGTGAAGTGTGAAGCAGTGTTTTCTCTTTTCAGTGAAACACTTTAGTGAGAATCATTTTAAGGAGTTCCTTCTTAACTCATGTAATACCATTATTCCAAAGAGTGGATGACAGGCTCAGTTGTGATTTCATATATCCTGTGAACATGTGTATAGACCACAATAAAATCTCCTCTTTAGCTCCTGTAATTTACTTAACCTCTTTTCAAATGACATCTCTTTCAGACCTGGGATTAGTTTAGGTGCTCTTCTCTGAACCTTGTTGTCTATGCATTTTAATGTTGACAGTAGTCTTTTATGAGGAACTGTATAAAAAGCTTTTGGAAGTCCATGTATATGCAATCAACTGACTATCCAAAGCTGCTGACCACTTATAAAAAACCGTGAGAAGCTAAAGTGTAATCGATCTTCCAGATATAAAACCATACTGCTGATAAAGTGCTCCTATAGGTTTGTGGAGTGGATGTCTTTTTGGC